TGGGGGTCCCTGGGGTGCAGGGGGTGCCCCGTGAGGCACCCAGCTGACCCAGGGGTGCAGGGGGTCCCCGGGGTGCCCCGTGGGCACCTGGCCAGCCCAGGGGTGCAGTGGGGGTCCCTGGGGTGCAGGGGGTGCCCCGTGGGCGCCCAGCCAGCCCAGGGGTGCAGTGGGGGTCCCTGGGGTGCAGGGGGTCCCCAGGGCACCCCGCGAGCACCCAGCCAGCCCAGGGGTGCAGTGGGGGTCCCCGGGGTGCAGGGGGTGCCCCGTGAGGCACCCGGCCAGCCCAGGGGTGCAGGGGGTCCCCGGGGTGCAGGGGGTCCCTGGGGTTCCCCGCGGGCGCCCGGCCGGCCCAGGGGTGCAGGGGGTCCCCGGGGCACCCCGCGGGCGCCCGGCCGGCCCAGGGGTGCAGTGGGGGTCCCCGGGGTGCAGGGGGTGCCCCGTGAGGCACCCAGCTGGCCCAGGGGTGCAGTGGGGGTCCCCGGGGTGCAGGGGGTCCCCGGGGCACCCCGCGGGCGCCCGGCCGGCCCAGGGGCGCCCGCACCTGGTACTGCGTCTTGTCGATGCCCACGAGGAAGACGAGCTCGGCGAGGAAGAGGCTGATGCAGAGGTTCTTGTGGATGGTGGTGCGGTCGGAGGGCAGCCCGCGCACGCAGCAGAACGTGGAGATGCAGATGCCCAGGCACACGAGGGCCACCACGATGCCCACCCACGAGATGACCGAGAGCAGCAGCTCGTTGAGGCGGCCCTGGTACTGCGGGCAGGGGGGCTCAGCGCCGGGGCGCCCACCCTGCCCCCGTGGGTGCCCCTGGTGTCCACACGGGCACCCACGTTGTCCCCAGTGTCACCTCCTGCACCCACCCCTGCACCCATGGGTGCCCCCGGTGTCCACACGGGCACCCACGTTGTCCCCAGTGTCACCTCCTGCATGCACCCAAACCCACCCCCGTGGGTGCCCCTGGTGTCCACACGGGCACCCACGTTGTCCCCAGTGTCACCTCCTGCACCCAAACCCACCCCCATGGGTGCCCCTGGTGTCCACACGGGCACCCACATTGTCCCCAGTGTCACCTCCTGCACCCAAACCCACCCCCGTGGGTGCCCCTGGTGTCCACACGGACACCCACGTTGTCCCCAGTGTCACCTCCTGCACCCACCCCTGCACCCGTGGGTGCCCCCGGTGTCCACACGGGCACCCACGTTGTCCCCAGTGTCACCTCCTGCACCCAAACCCACCCCCGTGGGTGCCCCTGGTGTCCACACGGGCACCCACGTTGTTCCCAGTGTCACCTCCTGCACCCACCCCTGCACCCATGGGTGCCCCCAGTGTCCACACGGGCACCCACGTTGTCCCCAGTGTCACCTCCTGCACCCACCCCTGCACCCATGGGTGCCCCCAGTGTCCACATGTGCACCCACATTGTCCCCAGTGTCACCTCCTGCACCCAAACCTGTCCCTGTGGGTGCCCCTGGTGTCCACATGGGCACCCACATTGTCCCCAATGTCCCCTCCTGTACCCAAACCTGTCCCTGTGGGTGCCCTGCCCCAACATTGTCCCCAATTGTCCCCAATTGTCCCCAATGTCACCTCTTGCACCCAAACCCGTCCTGCAGGTGCCCTGCTCCCAATTGTCCCCAATTATCCCCAATTGTCCCCAGTTGTCCCCAGTTGT